CAAAATTATTTGCGCATCATCAACAAAATGTGCCGGATCCCGGGCACTCAGTTCATCCCGTACCGTAATGTGAAAATCAAATACAGTGGAAGTTGTATAAATGCCTCGATAAGGTACCACAAACAGTTGCTAAAAGAGAAGGGTGTGTATTCCGAAAGATGAACGACGTCCTGGAACGTAACAGCTAATTTTTTATTAAATTAAATTTTGGCCGAGTTAACAGTGCACATAAAGCAGCACGAATGGCAGCTGCGACTGAAAGACACTGAGATCTACAAGCTTTTCCTTTCCGCGGTATATGCAAATTTATAAGTCGTAGCGTTTCATAAGTTCAAAAAAAAAATTTTTTTTTCCCCTCTCACCCTGCTGCCGTCAAGAAGTGCAATATCACCAGCAATCGTCAAATTCGTTGTTCCAATTAGAGGACGATAGCTGAGAAACAGTGTAAGTATTGATTCCGGCTCACTAAAATCCGTAATATTCTGCAACGATGGCTTCGAGAAAACCAAAAATACAGGGCTATCATCGGGATAAATGGAAATGCGTGGATCAGCAGCGAAATGATGACCTTCTTCATTTACAACATCAATCTGTAGATAAATCAACTTAAGCAAAATAATACAGATCTTTTCCAGTTCCAAAATCCAACTCCTTTTCAAGCTCTTTATTATGCGATTTGTGCTGTGTAACAGCAATGCAAAACGCATATTGTCACAGGGTTGACTGTGTGTGTTTGTGTGTTTGTCCGCAGCAATTTGTCCGCAACTTTCAACTCGGGAACCACAAAAGCTAGAGTGCTAAAAATTTTGGAGGACGTTCCCCATACACGTGCGACCTCGCAAGTTTAAACTCAGCCTCCCCGTACCTACCCGCGGGTAACACTTACGGCTCCATAAAAGTTCGGGTGGGTAAAATTATTATCACGGGAAACACGGAAGTAAGAAGGCTGAAATTTTGTGGGCATGCCCACAAAATTTCAGCCTTCTTACTTCCGTGTTAACCAAAAAATTTAAATTCAGCTTTCCCCTGTCTGCGGGTAACATGTACGGCCCCGTGAAAGTTTTTGACGGATAAATTATTATTTCAGGAACCACAGAATCTAGGAAGCTGAAATTTTGGGGCAATGACCCCCTGTCCGCGGCCGACCTTGAAAATTCAAATTCAGCGTTCTCGCAGTCTCGAGTATCGCTTGCGGTCCCGCGAAAATCTTTTGCGAGTAAATTATTAACTCGGGAACCACAAAGTCTACAAAGCTGGAATTTTAGGGTGATGATACCTTGCCCACGGATGACCTTACAAATTCAAATTCAGTGTTCCGGCGTTTTTAGCTATCACTTACGGCCTCGTAAAAATTTTGACGGGTAAACTATTATCTTGGAAATCACGGAAGGATATTCACTCTACAAGGTTTCAAACTCAACTTTCATGCGTCGATGCGTGAAATTTTTAACTATTTTTCAACGTTTCAAGTATTTTTGCACGGACTAAAGTACAAAGCAGTGAAAATCATTAACAGGCAATCGTTCGATGGGCGGAATTGCACAAAACGCATGATCGCACCGGCTAGTCTGGTGCGCGTCGCTATTTATTTCTCAAGGCATGAAACTGTAATGGCAAATCACCAGCTAATTGCACAAAAGCAAAGTAGGCAAGAAAAGTATGTGTACAGAAAAGGTAAAATGACTGTGGTGAATAAGCAAACAAGTGGATCTTAATCGCAGCAAAATAAAACAAGTGGATCTTAATCGCAGCAAAACAAAATGAAATTGAAAAATTTCAGCAATAACGAGCTTAAGAATTCCGTAAATAATAAGAAAGCAACCGTGATAATTTTTGGTAGCGTTTGCGGATTGACTGAAATAAGTAGCTCCGATGGATTGGTTGTAAAATCTGGCCTTTCCAATCCTACATGAACTTGCTGCCTTAATAAAGAATTCATAAAGTACAAGAGCAGTAAAACTGACAAAGATGAAGCTCATTAAAAACCACTTGTAAG